AAACGTTAAATAATATGTCCCTTTCTATCACCCAAGGAAATAAATTACAGCATTTTTCTATATTAACCAATGATTTATTTCTATGCGGTATATCTGACGAAAGCGTTAAGGAACAACCTGAAGAAGCTGTACACGAAGATGACACCCCCAGCCCCCTTACATATAACCCTCGTTTATATGGTCAACTTTTCACCCGGGTTTAAAGATAGTCTGAGAGGTAACGCGAAAGTGACGAGGATAGATAACAAGGAGGTATTAATGTAAACAAACTGTGGGTCTGAAGTTATAAATTAACATAATTGACAGTAATTGCACGAATGACGTCACTTTGTCGGAATGATGCACCGTACGGACATCTCGTATGATGTCACGACTGAGGTTGGCATCTTGTAGACACGAGTGTAAACTTTTATCTCGTGTCGGTGACGTAATTGTGTGCACTTGATATTACGCACACAGAAAAATCATAAAATTCGTAAAACAGTTGAGAAAAAAATATTCACTTACACAAACATACACTGAACCAAAACAATACTTATAAAATACAGTATAAAAACAATGACTGAAATAATCACTATAGGCGGCAGGTAACTTTACACCTTGACGGCCAACAACCGAGGCTATGCAAGGAGGCGGGGGGAGTATTTTGCTTCTGAACTAATATCGAAAAACAATTCGCTTGGGAGAAAAATAATGCCAAATGACATAAAATTGCTATCGTGTGATAAAATAACATCATAATTAATTTAGCCAACATACACTTCAAGTAATTAGCGTGTGAAGTATGTTTCTTGTGTGGAAAAAAAAACCTAAAATGTATAAATAAACTGTACGTCTCACAGAGTTGTAGTCATGCTCTTTTTGTTGAAGTTGGTACACGAATTACTCTCCTGTTTAGAAATGGACAACAGAGTATGATTATTGAAAACTAAAATAGTCAGCTTGTGTATATCTCTTCTGGGAAATGAGATGTAGGAATTACTGGAAAAGCTTCTTTTTTTTTTTTTTGACGTGATAAGTTCCAATGCTGGTTGGTTACTAGACACGAGGTTAATTTAGGAACATAACTGGTAGTGATAGGAGTATTATCAATTATCCGAGTCCAGTTTTGCAGGTAAACTCTCTTAAATATCTACAGTAAACCTCAAAAATAATCAACTTTAATTACAAACACCTGTGACAGCCTTTAATTAACTCTCAAGCACTTATCCACAAGGTTTTTTTTTTATTATTTAACTTAATATTTAACTTTTTTGTAAATTCACGAATGTATTAATAACAGGTTTCCGCCCTTCCAATCTCATAACCCTTATCTAGAGTTCCCCTCCCCTTCTCTTTCTACCTCACTCACACACACGAAGCCATGCAGGATGATAAAAAAATTAACCCCTGGAATTCTCACTAATCTCAATCTCTTCCTCTTAATGCTCCAAAGCTCTCTATTGAAGACTCAGGATGATGCAAATGAGTGTCGGGATGTAGCATTAGGGGGGAGGGGGGTAGCATTGCAGAAGTGGTTTGGTTATCGATGTGTGGAGCAACCTGACGCGCCGTTCGTTGTCCACCGAGGCGGACCCAACTGGATTAACGACACAGTCTCTCTCTCTCTCATGTATAGAAGATAAAAAAAAATCAACCTTCCATTAGGGTGTGATAAGGGCTAACTAACTCTTCCTCACTACTGGGGGGAACGACACATGTGAAAAGTTTGTGTGAATAGAAGGAAAATGTAGCCATAGGGGCGGGGGTAAGTACTAGGATAAAAAGGCGTAAACGGAGGCTGTGAAAGGTTTGGTCCAATGGTCAGTCACCACCAGCGATGATGCCGGATGTGATGTGTGGTTGACGGTTGTGATGCTTATGGTGTGATTGATTGTGGTTTGGTTGTTGGTGTGATTGCTGTGGTTGTTATTGCAGTGGGTTTTTTTTTGTTAGGTGATGCCTTTGTTGTAGTTGTTAACTGATGTGATTACTGTTGCTATTAGTTGTAAAAAAAATAATAATATTAAACCTAAAGTCTTAATAATTGAGAAAAACATTTAAAATAGAAGAGAGAGAATCAGGCTTCAATTTTCTCGGGGGTAAGTGAGCACAAAATGAATATCTATTGAAAGAAAAACACGACCAGGTTATACCAAGCGATTACCATAAATTACGTGCATAAAACACATATTAAATGATAGAGAAAAACTGATAATAAAGTTAAAGGAGGGAGCAATTGGTGAGTAGGATTCTGTCTAAGACGTGAGATATTGCTGAATAAACAGACAAATATTGAGGAATTTAGCGCAGGAATGAGTGGTAAGTGGGAGGGCTGTCAGAAGGATATGGATCAGCAGAGTGGTGGGGATACGGGTGGTGGTGAGGGAGATACGGGTGGAGGTTGGTGGTGATAGTGGTGGTGAGAGTGGTGACGAGGAGGAGAGGATGTGGCCAGTTCACATTATCTCCACCATAAAATAAAATACAGACGAAAAAAAAAATATATTAAGGAGAATAAACTTTAGTGCCGACATATATATGATAACTAACGTAACACAAACTTGAGTAATCATGGGATTAAATCATCATACTCTTGAGATTAATTTTCTTGTCCTATTCGGGTTAAATTATATACCAATACTCAGTCAAGCGATTAATGTATTTAGTGTTCAAAGGGTCAAAATATATCGTCTTGTCAGAGAGTCAACACGTTACACAATAGTGGTTTAAGTTGTGTTATCTCAAGGATTCAAGGCATCTCATTCGGTCATTGTCAGCAACCTAATGCTTTATAGTTAAGGATCTTGTGATTTATTCTGTATAAGGTGTCGACTCAACCCTTGATACTGTTACTGTATATAAAAAGCTACCGTTCACTATCACGATTTATATCATTTAATTCAATAATCCATAAGTGAAATTTATCATCTTTTTCAGTATCGCCAACAATAGAACGCCTTCAGTTCCCTAACTATAAAGTACCCATTCAGTGCAAAGTTACTTCTATCTGAAAATCACAACGCGATAAACATCCATTAGTCTGGTAAAAAAAAAGGTGATCAAATGAGTATTGTTTTGTATATCTCGATAAAACATTTAATTAAAATCCATATACCGTGTAACATAATCCTTACCGTCATGTTTATGTTGGATATAATCAAGAAATATTAGTAATACATAAACGTAACTTAACGCCAACTATGCTAACAATACTCTTCATCCTCCCATACACACCAGCGACCACAAGAATTTACCTACAACCACAGAACAATAGTGGATTCTCAGCGAATTCCGAGGACCACCTAAAAACAATTCGGGTTTCGACTACCTTTGGGGTTATACGTTAATTTGTGAGTGTTGTTGGAGTGTGGGATGTGGTCAGGTAAGGTGTGGGGGAGGTGGTGTGGCAGGGTGTGAGAGGTGGTGAAGCAGGGTGTGGAAGGTGGTGTGGGCAAGGGTGTATGGGGTGGTGTGGCAAGGTGAAGGGGTGGTGGTAAAGAAGGGTGTGACAAGGGATGATTAGGCAGGGTATCTTACAAATGAGATGGTCACTGCTTGAATGGTCTGTGTGAGGAGTGTGTGTGTGTGTGTGTGTGTGAGGAGTGTGCGTGTGTGTGTGTGTGTGTACTTGTCTGTAAATGAATAACTACATTAAAGTCAAACTAGCATTGGTCTTCGAAAATCCTTCACTGATAACAAGGGTGAATTTGCGTTAACCATTATAACAGTACAACACCGCTATAACAGATAGATACAACCACAAGGTGTACCCCACGAGAGCAAGGAAGCTGACTTGAACTTCAGCATCTCTCTTGGCTCTTGGAACAGAAACAACCCCCCACTACAACAACAACAATAGCAAAATTGGTCCTATAATAGAAGCTGCACAGGACAAAGAAAAGAAAGCGGCATTGAAGTGCGGGTAATACAATGGGGGAATTATAGCCTAGCGTTTAAAAAGGGCGCCGCAAAAGATTTCCTGAGTGAGAAATTGCGACAAATGGCGACAGGCGAAGCAAACAAAGCAGTCGGTGACTCGAGAAGGACTTGAAACCTTTTCAGTACGATAACTCATATTTCCCGGTACGTAAACTTTAACAATACGTACGATAACTTATGTTCCTTAGATAACTCAGCGTGTTTTGTTGTTTGGTTTTGTTTTACTGGATAACTTACATAACTGGGATCAACGGGGTAGGCCTATACTGACTATGATAAGGGAGAAATTTCATCATTTTCTTTTCGGTACAATTTTTTTTAAGAAATAGGGATAGTTGCATCTTCATTACCGTATATATTAGAGTTTGGTTTATAGACTATGGAACAGAATAACGAGTAATAGACCAATACGTATAAAAAAACACCTTGGCATAGAATCCAACACCATGGCATAGAATCCAACACCATGGCATAGAATCTAACACCATGGCATAGAATCCAACACCATGGCATAGAATCTAACTGTAGAATATTGAGTAGCACAAACTTATACTTACAAGCACAGAAGTGACAAAGTATAGATGCAACAACATAAAAACAAATAACAAAGAAACTGCATAAAATAAATAAAAGAATCAGAAACCTTAACACAATACAGCACAAATAATCTGGCCTGGTATTTATTCTCTCGTAAGAATAAAAAACTAATAATTATTTTCGTTAAGTGTATTGAAGATTTTGTAGGTGTTTTTTGGGCGCGTATTGTCTGAATTAAATCGCATAATCTTGCATGCACCAACCAATTACAGAAGGACAAGATGTTTTAAATTTGCATATATTATTAAGGTGATTGTGCAACTCTAATTTCAACAACGTAAAAATAATATACCATCATTTTAATTGCATGAGAATTATAGATACTATTCGTAAATTATAGATTTATAGTACAGGATATAATTTTATAAGAACACTACAGTATATACCCTTCCTGTATGGTATATAATCTCCGGTGTATAGTATATGTAACCTTCACTGATATACGCTATACCTCCAGTACATAGCATTAACACAGTACTTACATTCCCTTCTGTAGAGTAGTACCCAATGCGATGCCCACCACAGCCGTCACCACCAACCACCTCACACTACTTGCAGCTACGACAGCCATCATCTTGTATTAACTTCTTTCTCAGCTGGTTAACCACACGTCAGCTATCGTCACTATTGGGGTAGCTGGTTCGTACACGCCAGCTGGTTCTTTTTCCTAACTCAGCTAGTGTTATATTTGTTCCAGTTATTATTAGCGTGATTCACTTGTTCCAGACACCTAACACAATTTTGCTCAAGCCTGTCATTGTTTCAGCCTCACAATGGTTCACGTTCCATCAAGAAGACGTCAGCTATGAACTGATCACTGAAAATGTCTCCCTCGTTAATAGTGATAAATTTAATATGGAACGACACTCCATTTAACCTTCGCTGTATCGATCAGTGGTGAAAATATTCGTATCGTGAAACAGTTAAAGAGATGACACAACTAATTACAGGTTGTTAGCCTAGAAATCCTTCCGAGTACACACGGTAAAATTTGTCTCATCTGCGTTGGTCATGGCGGCCCTTGTTTTCCACACAAAAAATCAATCAATCATCTCGGTAGATATTAGACCAAGCGACGGTGAGGCATTATAAAAGTTCACGAAAAGGAGGTGATGAGGGGGTGAGCCACGTGGTGAGGACAACAGCAGCCACAGCGATACATCCTCCCCGCACGACACCTGGGCAGCGACTGAGGTGAGGCTGCGACTCTGTGAGGCCAACCCACCAGTGACACAAACTGTTCAGAGATCGTTACGTCACTGGCACCCTCTCTAACACGGAAATACGTTTGTTACTCCCTTGCGCAAGCGTTGTGTCAAATTATACATTTATAAGGAAAGATTAGAACTACGATGATACAGATAGTTTCCCTAACGATCGTCATCATACACTGATGGGGGTAACTCCTTGTTGTGCTGCTTACAAACACCTCACACTTATACACAGACGCTCACACAAAGGTAAACATGACTGTGTAGTACGAGTTGGAATAATTATAATTTTACACAATAAAAGGGGGAGAGGGACAAGGCGATGACACATAAAAAAACAAAATAAAAAAGAACGAGAAAACAAATGGGGACAGGGAAATAAACAGTGATAAAGGAGAGAAAGATAATGAATACAAAAAGGTTGATGTTTGTCCGGTTTAAGTGATGAAAACTGGTTAATTCGATAACTAAATCTTCTATGACGTCGTAGACATAAATCTGAAGTCTTGTCGATTATGTAACCTAACCTAACCTGAAACAGGAGAGCAGGCGGCTGGATGAGGATGACGCACTTGACAAGACGCAGTTCGTTAGTGGGACGCTTAAGGTCAGCGCTAATGCGAAACGGGAGAGGTATGTTCTCCTTAAGTACACGGCTATTTGTCACCCCGTCTCACACTAACATAAGTCACGCCTCCAACACCTCCCTCCCTCCCTCCCTCCTTCCTTCCCTCCCACCCTCCCTCCTTCCCTCCTTCCCTCCCTCCCTCCCTCCCCCCACAGCTCCAAATAGGTGAAGCACGAGTTTATTAATACATGGAAGGATTAACAATAATTAAGTTAGAAAAATATAAACAACATGTAATGGAAGACAATAACCCAAACAGAATAAGAATGAACATCTGTTTTAGCCAAAAATTTACAAATGTATCAAGATCGTTCCTTTTACCCCACTATTATCGCCCACCTTATGTTTTTTATCGCTTCTTTTACCTAATAATGATGTTGGTAGCCTCAGCTTCCCAGCTTATATTACACTTCGGTAAACCTTCTTGTGTAAGTCTCCCCAACATCCTAGTATCTCTCTGTGTCAGTTTTCCCAGAATTTGTGTGTCTATAGAACTGCTCTCTCTCTCTCTCTCTCTCTCTCGTCTCAGTTTTATCTCTCAATTTCTCGTTTTGTTTATGTTTTGGTCGTTCGTGGAGGTTAAATCCGTATCCCCACTGCAACAGGTATAAGAAGATAATTTCAGGAAGTAGTGAGAAAAAATATAACCGTAGTCCTTTATGCACCTTAAGACAGATGGCGTTAAAGGTTATATCTGTCATATAGTTGGTTTAGTTATCGTGGCTTTATGGAAGTTACTGCAGGTTGTTTGGGGTTCAGATGTGTGTGTGTGTGCGTGTATAAACCTAACACGAAGACTGGTTGTGTCGTACATTCCTAGCGGGGCCAGGCTAAGAGACGTCGCTTGTGAGATGAATTTGATTAGTATACGTCTTGTGATCTTTATAAACCCTCTTGTGTTATAGCGGCAAGTTTGATTTAAATATTGGGTATATAAATATTTTTCATGGTGTATACGAGCCTAAAATATATATTGATCAGGTTTCTCGCTGTATATAACCTCCAGAGATGCACTAGGGAGGAGCTTTCATCTCCCCATCTCCACACAAACTCGCGTTCTCACCTCATCTGTCTCCCAAGTTCAGAGAAGCGACCTAGTAGTGACCACCGTAAGGACAAAAGTTTTCCGTGTGGTTCCCATTACACCGGGATCAACCAAAAGCAAAGAATCCGTTTTCCATGACGAGCAGATAACACTACAGTTTACGGTATAACGATACAACGACTCAGAGAAAATAATTACATCAATTATACATTAGCACAGGTCGTGTAAACAGCTTTATCTAAAATCAAGTAATACCGGTTCGATAAGTAGTTCGGTACGTGAAAGTTTGTCCAATAGGAGAAAAATTCCCTTGACAGAATCTGGGGGAGAGCCAACCACACAGCAGCCATGAGACGGTTTCGTAAGGATTCTTGATGTTATCTTGTGGATGGCTACGTCCCGCCGCTAACTTCATGTACGGAAAATGAATTAGAAAGAATTACACTTTTTTTTTTCAATAGATAACTTATACCTCGAGCGAATAAAAACAACAACTAAAAGAACGAAATAAAAAGGACTCTGGGATTACGTACTGCTGCTGTACTGTGTTTAGGAGCTGTAGTGATACTTTTTGGTTGGGAAGGTCCAGTTAGTCTCTTCACCCCACTCCTGCGTTTATCTTCTCTATCCTCTCTCTCTCTTACCGTATTCTTCCCTTCCTCTCTCTCATCCCTACCCACCTCTCTCCCCCCCACCCCCCCCCCCACCTCCCCCACTCCTACCTCACACAGAATCTCTCAAAAAATTAGATACACAATGAGACAGCATGACCAGCATCTCAATCAACCTCCCTCTTCAAATGACACCACCTCACCTCTGACACCCATACCACCACCTGCCAACACGATGGTGGTAATGAAGCTCAGTAATCGTGGGAAAGTAGAGAGATGGTAACTAATGAGCTGCGGTAATAGCAACGTCCCAGATGCTCAGTGGTAAAGGTATATTCTCGCGGGGATTCCTTTTTCGTGCCAATTTGTACAGATATTCTCATGGGTTTATATTTTAACCTTAGGATTTCTACACTGTTCTGGGTTGTTATAGTGTGGTAAGGTGTTCAAGTGTTGGGATGATATAGATGGTCTAATGTTTAGTTAGTTCGAGGGTTAATAGTTGTTAATCGTTAGACCCAAGTGTGGTATTAATTAGTTGTTTATTATTAGTGTTTTTATATAGTTAGCTGTAATTGATGGTTGCTTTTTGATAGGGCATTTTTTTTTTCAGTATTTACATCTTTTTTCGTGATGTCCACTACCTTTGAAGACCACAATGAAAACAGTTTATTTTACGTTATTATCACTCAACCAAACAATGAATTTCGAGTTCGTTGTTTTTCTCCACCAATAAACTTCCTGTGGGTGAATTATGTCTCTTAAGATTCTATTATTAACTCAGACTTAAACAACAGTTCATGTGACCTAAATATCAACGTCGGGTATTATTGAATCTACTTTAATGTTTTTGTCGTTACGTGATGGAGTGAGGGAAGGTGGGAGGGAGGGAGAGGGTGAGGGGGGAAGGGAGGGAGAGGGTGAGGGAGGAAGAGGGTGAGGAGGGGGGAGACTGTGCTATTTTCACTTTAAGGTAGCTGTTCCGCTCATCCTCCCCCTTTTTCCACTTTTTGCTCAACTTCCTCTTGACCGAAAAAAAAGAAAAAATAACAAGTTTTTTTTTAAGAGTAAGCAAAGGAGATGTTACTCATTATGCTTCTTTGTCGTTGCTAGATATTATCACAATACAAACTAATACAGATGTGAGTTGGTGCCAAATATACCACGAGGATCAGGGAGTAGTACAGGGGAGTGAGTGTGACTAATAGAATTGTTATTTGTGGAGATGGTAGAGTGTGTGTGTGTGTGTTGTCAGTGGCGGCCTATCTGGTGGAAATAAATAAACACTTAATCTCTCTTTTGTCACAAGTTTACATGTGGAAATAATGTACATCGTTATCAACAGGTGGTTATGTATGTATGTATGTATACAAACGGTGATACATCGTGGTGATTTTAAACATATCTAGATTCCATTTGATTTAAGATATAAAATCAATGATAAAAAAGTTATTAAACCATAAACAGAGAGAGAGAGAGAGAGAGAGAGAGAGAGAGAGAACAGGGGGTAGTGACTATACACAATGTTGTCATGAACGCACGGAGACCATTGAGGACTCCCACCAACAGCGTCTACATAGGCCTAGACAATAAGAGGAGTGTGAGACGGCGCCAGACAGCCCCTTACACTCTGCAAACAAAATCTGACTAACCGACAGATTTCAGGAGTTATTGTGAATGGCAGATATATTGACTGTACTACCTATCTTATTACAATACTTAGTTTGAGAGTGAGGGAACGAGTTGGCGATCGTACTTAGCAGGAGTGGGAACAGGTGGTGGTGGTGTGTGTCGAGGTGACTGTTGTGTTGGGCGGGCGAGTCTCAAGTGTTGACCACGAGTTAAACAAGCCCTCACCGCCGACATGAAGGAGAGACACATAGAACAATAATCATCTCGGAAATGAACTTCTGGTTTGTGATAAAAAATACAATATAAACCAAGACATTGCTGGTGTGATGTCGTAATGTCTGATGCCACCCGTTGAGTGATAAATGTCAACAAGACGCTCTGGGTGAAAAAATGGTCACCATAAGTTCCATATCATGATGAGAGAACAAAAGAATGTCAATAATGTTAGATGATAATTTCAAACAATTCACCATCTAAAAAATTGTCTCTAGCTGAGGTAAAAAAAAAATTGGCTAAGGAGTCAGAGCATTTGAGCCCACAGCACACATGGTAGGCGCGCGTCGGTATTAGTAAGTGTGGCGATGACTTCCTTGACCCTTCCCATCCCACCCACCCATACTGCGTCTACGTAAGGGAATGACGAATTGGCGATACATAAAGAAAACAAAAGTAAAAATGAGGCCTTGTGAACAAAAAGAAAGATACAACTATGAGATCACGAAACAAAGAGAAAGAAAGAAAAGAGGAAGATTGATAGAAAAGAAGAACCAGAAAATGTAATAAGGATATAGAAAATATAGACTAACAGGAGAAAGAAAGAAGGGTACAACACATATTTCAGTCGACAAGAAATAAATTTTGTATCAATGTGTAATTACTGTATATTCTATATATTTACCGGACATGAAAGACTCCCGGACTTATATAACTCCACATAGCCTAAAGTAACTATTGTGATACGCACCATCAACAGGTTTAATAAGGACTATGTATACTCTATCACTACAGCACGATGCCACATTAACATTCACCCTCACGTCTCTCATAC